ACCCCAAATTTGACCCAGGGAGGTTGATTTTAGCACTAAACCCCTCACCGGGGAGGAGTACAGAATCGATTTTAAGAGCCCTTTAAGTCGACAAAACAGGCTTGGTCACGTGGATGAGTGCAGGGTTATATCGGCCTAACGCTACTAAATTCGACCTAAACTCATAGTATAGACCAAGGCCAAGAGAAGTTAGCATCTGAGTCATCACAGATTTCTTGAACTTGTTCCAAAGGCCCATTCTCCTGACCCAGATTCATTGCCACCAAAAGTATGTAAAGAAATAACCCATTTGACGAGTGTAATAAAACAGCCCCAAAATAACAGCTGTTGATTACATACAGTTCAGTTAACTCACTTAGCCAATGCATCTTTGGAGTCAATGAGCATGGTCACTGGCTGTTAGGCTTTAGCCAGTTCCAGTGCATCTCACTGAATGCAGGAGCTGTAGCGCTCTACTCCTTGCTTCCACTCCTTTAACAGCAAAGGAATTTTCCTGATTGGCCGGTGTTGGATATTTTGGCAATAGCAGCCATAACTGGCTTCCTATGCTAAACACTTTGCAGCAGGATTCCTTCCTGATCAGTATTTTACTCCAGCCTTACTTTTGGGATTGTCTTAACCCCTTTCTGTTTTAAAGAAGCCACTGGATGTCCTCAGTCCCTTAATTTAATTATAAATCTTGTGTCTTTATGGGAAACATGTACAATTCCGTTTGGTATTATTTTTAGGGACCTATACACTTCCACCAGAAATTTGTTACCCTTAGACTGTTCGTAATAAAGTATGTCTACACTGTAATTAAAAACCGGTGGCTAGCCCATGCCAGCTGGCTCAGGCTCATGGGGCTGTTGCTAAGGGGCTGTTTAAGTGTGGTGTAGAGGTTTAGGCCTGGGTTGGAACCCCATGTCCCAAGTCACCAGCCATGGGTCTAATTGCAGTGGAGACCCTACAAGGCTTTAGTTCCTTCCCAGTGAAGGGGATCGAGGCTGATTCATGAATTATTGCTTTGATCTGGTCTTTCAAGTTCTTGTTTGGAAACTTAAGGTTTTTGCATATTCCGTACAAATAGATCCTAGGTTTTGTACAGTTGAGTTGCATGTGTGTGTGATTTATTTTTTGTTTAAGAATTAATTAGTAGTTTTCCTTACCAGCAAGAACCATGGGATGCTTTTGGTTAATGTTAACCGTTAAACTCTGAACCAGAAAGTGAGAATCCTTGCAAAACTCTCCTGCATTACCTAAAGATTATTCTGGGGAAAGTGAATCTTCATATATTTGTTCCAGGGCTTTTATCATCTAACATCTGTATTGTATTACTATTCACTAAATGTATCTTTGAATATTATTGCTTGTGTTGTCCAATCAGGAATAAATTTGGCATGTAGTTTTGTTTACTAGTCAACAGCAAGGACCACTCAACAGTCAGAAGCTTTGTTTTAGACATTAATGTGCTGATATTATCTGTAGGTTCCTTTTTTCTTTTTTTAATTTATTGAAAGCGGCATTCCAGATTACAAAATAAAAAAGTTGTATATTGTTTCTAAGGTGCCTAGATCTTAGAGAGATTTGATTAGCAACCTTTTGTTGTTTCTCCTTTTAATGGCATCACTAGCCTGTAGCCAGTAGACCTAGACTCATAACTAATGATTTTATTTTAAATTGTGGGAATTGCTTTAGTCACATATGCTAATATTCATGTTTTGTTAATTAATATTGTATTGTTACAGCCACTGTATTGGAGAAAAAAGAAACAGGAAACTTTGGTGTTCATGCAATTTTTCATGGATTGAATGAAAACTAAAGTTAAGATGCTTATAAAAATCAAAATGAAATAACCTACTTTTTAAATGTAACTAGCCAAAAAGTGGCAATTACTATGTCACAACCTTCTTTTCAATCACTTTTCTATACACTTTGTTCGCAGGCCCAGAAATGATAGATCTTACTCTTCACTTCGATGTTTCTTTGACTCACTCCTTAAAACTTAGAATTCTGGCCCCAGAGATCCAATATGTTCCTAGTTCACATCTTGTATGTAGGCAATGTCTTTTCCTATTTGGTTACAGTGAAAAGTAATGATAATTAATAAATAGTAATTGTTCTGTCTTCCATTAGTTCACTCTGCAACAAGTTCCTGAGCTTTGACCTAACTAGTTTACTTTCCATTTCTTTATCCTGTTGTTTTTTTGAGACTGTTTCTTCCTACAGTGTTTCCACTTACATTTTCATTTGTTCAGTTTCCTGTTTGGAGCAATTATCTTGCCTTCTGCAGACACTGGTTCAAAAGGAACACAAGAAGGACCTCTTTCCTCTGTAGCTGACCACAGCAGGCTTAGTCTGTCATAATTATACTCTTGTGGGATGCTGTACTCTGGGGATCCAAAGCGGTGAAAATATTTCAGTTCCACCCCATCTCCAGAGTTCAATTCATTTCTGTTTAATATTTTTAAAATGAAACTTCTAAAGATTTATTAGTTGACATAGGAGGGGACTTCCTGCTCCTGGAAGAAAGAGTGCTGTAGTCTACAGCAAAATACTTCATGGATTTTCCAGTACTGCACAATCTTTGGAGACATATAAGTGACAGCAGTATAATAATGCTCTTTCTCTGTGTAATTGCTTACTTCCTTCATGATGCAGCTCAAGATACTGCCAAGATTTCTATTAGAGGCAATGTAATGGCTGGAAATATTGAAGCCACAGCCTGATGACCAAGAGTTTGTTTTATTTTGTAGACAGACATAGATGGTCTTAAATATGTTGATCGTTACAATTAATAGCTTCTCTCCACAGCAAGAAAACCCTTAGAGATTGTTTCTCTGGCTAGATTTGTCTTAAGAGGTTCAGGTTTACCTGAGATTTAGAAATTCTAGTTTGAAAGAGAGAGTACTTTGAGTTCCTTCAATGGAAGATCCAGATTAATCTAATTGTTTTTCTTACTTATGAGACCGAGTGCTATCCTTTAATGCTGATATCTGCATTTGACATCGATGTTCAGTAGCTTTTTCAGTCCATTTGATTTTTATGTTTTGAGATTCCTTAATGAGTTTTTTGTCAAATTCTGTTCTGAGTTTAGGGTTGTGTTTTGTTTTGTTTAAATTTATGAGCAAAAGTTAACACATATATTTGGTTTCTGGCTTGCTACTTTTTCAGTTCATCAGTAAGATACAGTGTTTTCATTTCACTGGCTAATTAAAAGAAGGGAGGTGTAGAGAAAGCAAGACAAAATGTAAATTGACTCAGTGAAGACTTTAACTTTTATGGGACAATGTAAGAAGGTAGGCTGCAAAAGCCTGACTCTGGGAGTTCCTCTAGCTTCCTTATTTTAACCAGAGTATCTGCTAAAATCTAAGTCATGCTCTTGTATTTCCATTTAGCCTCTCTTTATACATCAAACTAAAAACCTGTATTCACTTTCATGAAATCCTGAAGGAATCAGACTTAGTAATGGTCTGATGGAAAACACCTTGTGTACCTTTATACTTGCCTAGATATAAATCAACTTTTTGGTAGATTAATTCAGTCATCATTAGCTGTACTCTTTCAAATGCTGGGAGAAATCTGGTTTCTGGAACCATCTTTTTTCCAAGACAGAATGGATGATTCAGCCATTTGGGCAGCATCCTCCAGCTAATAAAACCTAAATAGTGACTTTTAAAAAAAATTATGGACATTTTGAATTGTTCAACATTAAATGTGGTTTTGTTCCTTTTCTGTGTATTAAACATTATTTACTGCTCAGCAATGCTGACTAGAATAGTTTGATTTTTTTGAATCACCTGTCATAAATCAATTAGCTGTTCTTGTTTTATAACTTTGATCTGCCAGTCTGGTTCCCCTCAAAAACTAGGAACATAATTGCAACTACAGTTTTTGTCTTAAGACCTTTGTGTGACAATGAATTAAGATTATTTATTTTCTATGAATGCTCCAATTTAATTAAAAATATAAACACCATCAACTGTTGTTAAGGAGTCTGTCGCTTCTGGAAATTGGACCTTTACTGGCTTTAATTACATTTGGCTTTTCAAGAACACTTGAAACTTAATGGCTTGTAGAGAGGAAAGTCTGTCTGTGTCCCTTATATGGTCTGTGAGGAAGAAGTAGTCTCAGTAAAAAAGTAATTGGCATATACTTCTCAGACTATGTAGCAAATTGCTTTTACACAGAAAACTCTTTTGTCTAGGGCCACATAATTTGCCTGATAAGGAATCTTCTCCTGGAGCTACTCTGTGTGTTTTGTAATACTGGAATGAGAAGCAAGAAAGAGGCCACTATGCTTAAAGCTATCTGGAAGTTAGTCTGTAAATTAATTGTTGCTTTTGTGTTTACAGAGCCAACACATGGTATGTACAAATATGTATGTAGCTAATTTTTTAACTCCAGCTACTCAAACTAGCAATTTTGAGGGTCTGATGTAGCTTTCATAGCATACTTTGAGGCCTTTTGTGTTCCCTAAAAGTGATCAAAGAGCATCTCAATATGTACATGGTTATTTTGCTTTCTAAATAACATTCATATTGGCCACTACTGCATCAAACATTCAAATAAATGACATTCTCACAGTTTTAGCTTACATTGAAGCTGGAAATCATTGTGTGGTTTTGGAAACCAAACACATTCCAAAACGCAGTTGGAAACCTTTTATATGACAGCCTGTTTTATACAGATAGTAACATCAGTGTGAGGATGAAGATGGAAATGCAAATCCCAATGGAGGGTGAAATTGTTAGCTTCATTGAAATCAAAGGCAGTTTTTACATTGAATTCAACAGGACCAGGATTTCACTCAGATTATCTGGCTGTCTACATGTGTCATGGCTTACACAGAAAAAGTACATTTTGCATGGCATGAATAACAGCACATTACTTTTTCATCCAATTAAACAAGTACAGTACAAGGTACCTTGCATTTCTTGGATTCGTAATGAGCAATGCAAAATATTTTGTAAATCCTGGCTGCTGATTGCAAGTTAATAAATGTTTCTTTTCTTGGCCAGGTTGTCAAGTTATTAAGCAACAAAAGATCTCAGGCAGTTGGAATACTAATGTCCAGTCTTCATTTAGATATGAAAGACATCCAGCACGGTAAGTACAATAAACTTTTATTAAGTAAGGCTTTCAATAAAAATATTTTTTCTAAAATCCAGAAGGAACTTGATGCCAGCGTGTAGTGTGTATCTACCCATTTGATCAGTGTTACATAATTGCCATGCATTATATACAGAGTTGCACAGTTAATGTGGCTGTTCATTCAAAGCCTTGCAATTTACATTCTTTCACTTGGATTCTGTCAGATATATAAAATCTAGTGTCTTTGGCTCCAGCCTATATTGTATTGTTGATTCTAACTCAGTTAGCATAATTGGAAACCTAGACACCTGGAAATGTTGTGACTTCCATTTTATTTATTTGCTGTGTAAAATCGCTCCTACATTTAGTATTAGAATATCACGTATAGACTTCTTAGTTGCTTTATCTTCAAGAATGTTATAAAGAGAAACATTTTGTTGAGATTGTAATATTTTTCACTTTTATAGTAGGATGGCAGAAAAGAGGAGTTATATTTTTATTCAGAGTGTCCTTTATGCTTCCCAGGGGCTTTGAATAGATTTAAAGCAGACTGATCTGTCCTGTGAAGTGCCAGCCTACCTATTAAATAAACATGGTTTCAAGTATAGTGCAGACTTAATAAATCACGGGGAAAAAAAATTCAAGCTTTCTAGCCTACATCTTTACAGACCTGAATTCCATTTGCTGTGCTTAGATTATTTTGTGGAATCATTCAGATTTAGAACAAATTTTCCTGTGATCTGTCAGCTAGTGAGTAACTCTTAATCACAATTTAAGTTTTTATTAAATTGTTTTGATGGTTACTAGACTTCCTCAAGCTGAAACGTTTAGGATGGTAGTCATAGAATAAGGCGCCAGTACTGGCGCCAAGAAATACTTGGTATTTCTAAAGCTGGCAGATGTAGTTCAGTTAAGTCATTGAGTGAAATCTGAAAACAATGATATGGTCCTTTCCTTCAGTCAAATATTCAGCTTGGTTTGAGTTAATAATGAGAACCTTATGAACAAAGGAGTCCGCCTAACATCTGTGTCTGTGGTAAAGCCAACGCGAGTTCATTGAAAATGTGCTTGCTTAACATGCAATACTAACAATAACATGGCATGAATGTCTGTAGTTGAAGGGGGTCAAACAATATTATGCTTAACCTTTATCCTATTAGAATGTTAAGTATATAGGATCATCTGTCATACAAGTTGCATACTATTTTGTAAAAATAACAGGAGGGCTTGTGGCACCTTCGAGACTAACAAATTTATTTGAACATAAGCTTTCGTGAGCTACAGCTCACTTCATCGGATGCTGTAGCTCATGAAAGCTTATGCTCAAATAAATTTGTTAGTCTCTAAGGTCCCACAAGTACTCCTTTTCTTTTAGTGGATACAGACTAACACGGCTGCTGCTCTGAAACCTGACACTATTTTCTATATTCCCCTTCAATAGCTGTTAGTTTAAAAGAAAAAAAAAATCTTTGCTAAAGCATAGTGCACGATTGTCCTTACTTACATGTTGTCTGAAATATGAAGAAATTGTGAAATAGAAGCAACATTTTTCCATTAGGGAAGCTTTTGGAAAATAATGCAAAGAATCTGTCGCTTGGTGGTTAACGCAGTTTTGAAGGCAGGAAAGGAGCACTGACGGGGCTGAGCAAGGCAGATGATGTGCTACAAAATGACGCAACATCAAGCATGCCTCTTGTCAATCCAAACTAGCCTCCCCCATATTTCCATTTCAGACTTACACCCAGACATTTTCCCAGGACAGACAGATATCCTCCCTCTTCCTTTCCAGACATCCCATGTGCACTTTCCAGTATGGGCAGATGCACCCTCTCAGACCTGCTCAGTTTGCTGATCCTGGATTGATGTTGGGTAGCCAGGGTGTGGGTGCTTAGTGCTAATGCTCCTGGGGAGGAAGGTTCTATTACACTTCCCTTCCTCCTCCTTTGACCCAGGACCAGCTGTCTCAACACTGGGCCTACAAGCAGCTTCCCCTGCTGCCAGCCCTTGGAGAACATGGAAGCAGAAGCCACCTGTCTGTAAATGTCCTGTATTTTGGCCCGGATTTCACTCTCCTGAGAACCGCAGGCCAATCTGCTGGTTATATGACAATGGTAAAGAACAACATCATGCAGCATCATCATTGCTAGCTTTTGCGATTATATTGATAATCTTGTGATACTTGGTGTTTTTCTTAAGGCCCCACCTTCTGAAGTCAAACGATTTGAGAAAATCTGAGTTTCGATTTTTTTTAATGAGGTTACTGCCCACATGATTACATTGAAAATCTTGCAGATGTGAATAGAGTGAACCCTAAAGGTTCAGAAGCCAGAAAGCAAATTATACATTTTGGGTGGTTGTTATTTATTTAAACCTCACTATTGTTTGGGGTCTGATTTTTGGACATTTGGGGTTGGCAACACCGAAGAGCCAATTTCTTCTAACTCTGAACAAGGAAGTTCATCATAGTTCATCAGAGTTGAGTGCCCCAGGCACCTCTGCAGGCTCCAAATTTCTGCTGATCTCACCTGGACCCTAACTGGGAGACTGAATCTCCTGGGGAAACAAGGAGACTGAAACAGGAGGTGAGAATAAAACACTTCTACTCTCTATAGTTACAGTGAGGGTGTATCAGCTGTAGCTGGTACACCCTATCTGGGACTGAGGTGAAATTCTGGCCCTGTTGAAGTCAACGGCAAAATACCTGTTGGCTTCAGTGGGCCAGAATTTAACCTTAGGACTAGTGCTGCACTCCCATTTATTTCTTGTCAGACCTCACAGCATAGACTTTGTGGGATGAGTGGAGGTTCCCTGTGCAGCTTGGGGATTTTGGAGTGTGAGGGAAGAGGGAAGCACGTGCAAGGCCATAGAGCAAGCACTGGATGCAGCCTCTATGATCCCCCACCTCTCAGAGAGGGTCAAAGGAGACTGAAACAGCCCTGGAAATAGTCTGCCCTCCTCGCTCCCAAAGGAACTAGGATTCTCAGTGCTGCCCCCTACCTGTGGCTCCTGCAGAGTCTGTGACATTGTTAATGGAGTTAACATGACATTTACCATGACTTGGCTGAGGCAGCACATTTCCCTCTCCCCACCCCTTACCTCAGTGTCTGGGTTTCTCCCTCCTCCTCCTAGTTACTGCCAACATTTGTGATCTTAGACACCTCCCTCCCAAATAATCAGGTTGTCAATGAATATTAATTATTAAATCATAGCCCCAAGAGCCTAGCTTCACTTTCTATTTATGCCTCATTTAACTTGGACTTGAAGGCATGTAAATATCTAGTAGTAATATATTTTTACCAGCTTTTATAGCCTGACTATTACAGTAACAGAGAAACTGATAAGGGAGCAGGAGCAGAGAATTTAAATAACCTTTCAGTGAAAAATTGATGAAGTATGTAAATAGGGTACTTGCTGTATTTGCATAAATTCAAAATTTCTAGATCTTCACCCGTAATTGTTATGCTGTTAGAATAATGAAACCAGTAATATAATTAATACTACACTTATGCTCTACTTTACTCCACTTTGCAGTCCGTTCTGCTTGATTTTGTGCTACAAATCTAAAGAAACAGTACACAGCCGAAAGTGCAGTTCTGGAATGCTTATTTCTGAATTTCCTGAGTAGTTAGAACAAAATAATTGTCCCCACTAACAGTCTGTTTTACTATGCATTTCTTTATCTTGGTTCACTGGGATATATCATACTCTGTACACAGATATTCCTTGTGTTGAGTGTAAGGCACATCTGTTGAATGCAGAGGAAATGTTAATTACTTGCAAAGGCAACTTGTACAGATTTTAAGACCACTGTATAACTTAGCAAGAGAGGGAACCTTTCAGTGAGACACTGTATTAGGATTCCTTCTTTTGAAAACAAAACTCAAATGATTTTAGGAATTTAGGTGAAAACTGGGGTAAGCATGAGCCCAAATGGCTAATTTGGGGTTGCAAGTTACAGTTACATGGTTGTAACTCATTTTTAATAGTTTTAAAATAATTTGAAACTCCAGGCAAACATTACACTTAATTTCATCGCTTCTGGAAATTGCATAATATTGGTAAAATATATTCTTAAAACAAATTTTAATTCTACTTGACAGATGATGTTGAAAATTTGAATAGTAATCATTTGTGCTGTTTCTCCATGGTCTATGGTCTCTTTACTATCTGGAGTCTGCTACTGTTTTCTGAGTTTGTGATTAGGTGACATTTCATGCAAGCTTGCAGCAGCAGCAGTACAGTGTACACTGAGTTATCTCTTTTGGTCAGGGGAACATAAGTGGCAGCTAATGAAATTGGGCTAGTCTGTTTCTTTCTTTGAATTGGATTCAGTAAGACGCTTGCCCAAATTCTGGTTGCTGTTTAGACATTTTACAGTGTGGAAGGAATCCTTTTAATGAGCAGAACATATTTTTTATTGAATCCTAATAGATCTTTCTAGTAGTGCTTTAAAGTTGTTGAGTTTTTTTTATAGATTTTAATTGCTAACAGATCTTCCAATTGTCTATCATGTGTTGGCTAAAATTTTAAGAAATGTTATTCTCTTTAATCCCAATGCCATTTTCTATGTATTTAGATGCTGCAGTACAAAAAGAAGTTTTTCTCATGGTTTCTCTGGTTTCATGCGTGCGCTTACTGATGCTCAATCATTACAATCATCTATCAATTACCTGAAACACTTTACCCAGTCATTTTTCTTGTTTTTTTGGGGGGGAGGGAGAGGTGGGGTATACCACTAATATCCTTCGTTCATTTTAGCCAGTATTATGTTCCCACTGGAATCATGACTGCATTTGGCTTCAAGACTCAGCCAATGTTTGAGAGAGGCCAGTCAAGCACTTCTCATGAATTTTTCCTTTATATCTCAGATTTTCTTTTTTAGATGCAATATGGTGACTTCAAGATCCATTTGGGTTTTTTTTCCAAAAGGTCAGAAATGCAAGCCATGTTTAAACTGGGAGTTTATCACAATTTCAATTAGCAGTTTCAGTGCTGAGTGATAAAGATTCTATTTA